AACGGGACCCCGGCGGAGTCAATGACTCGGAATCAAGTGCGCCGCCGCCGGCAATAAATAATCTCTTCGCGTCCGCCTTTGCCCGCTCCCTCGCGCCGCGTCAAAGTCTCCGCTCTCCGCCGCCGCTCCGGGCCGGGAGGAACGCGGTAAACAAACAACGTCCCCCGGAACTGGGAACTGCGAATATGTTTCTTTTGGGCATTGCGGGGTCGTTGATTTTGAAAAGGTCGCTAACGAGGTTATATTATCATCCACGTCGTATACCATTATTATTTATCGTCGTCGCCGCCGCCGCCGCCGTAGTATCGAGTACAATAATAATAACGCAATATAATTATATATATGATGCGGATAATGCAGTTTCATTTATAATATAATATTATCTGTGGGTCGCGAGTGATAATAACAACAACAATAATAATAATACAATCATTGTGCAGATAAGTGAGTGGGTACTTAGAGAAATATTATTCAATATTATTATAAGATAATATCAAATATGACGCGTTAAAAGTATATTTAGGTATGATATTATGCCATGTTCATATTTAGGTATTCCGTACATCAAAAATCGATATAAGTGTCATTCGTCGTTGTAATATTATGATATTTTGATTCAGATAATATTCAGAATACATTTTTTACATCACGAACGTTCACGCGATCAGCACTTATTTATTGATTAATTATCGCTTTTTTAATAATAACGTTTTTAATATTATTTATTTTCCATTGTAAATCCACGGCTGTGAGTCATATTGTAAACGGCACTAATAAAAACACATTCCCCTTACCTAAAACTCCTCTCGTTTACCCTCAGAGGGTGAACGTGTTATTAAATCGCTTGTCTTATTTATATTTCGGCAGAAATAAAAACCCATCACCGACGACCGCCGTTTTTAAGCCCGCTCGGCACACACGGACCATTATAATAATACGACGGAATATAGTAGCCACATTTATATAATATAATAATAATAATAACAGTAATCCGGTGTCAGCAAATGATTCATTTGGGTTCGATAGGGATTACTGATATTATACGGGGAGGGCGACCGACGAAGAGTTGACTTTCGCCAATATCACGACACCACGGTTAGCGGTACATTAATCGTCACGTTGCCTGGTCACAAAATTGTTATTAAACGAGCCCTGAAGCATAATTGTTATTATATCGCCTAATATATGGAAAAACCGTAACATCAAACCACTAAGGTTACGAATCACATCAGACTGCAACTGAAAATCTCTCCGACACGAGTATTCAGGAGAATCAGCTCAATTGAAAAATGTTAATACAGCTCTGCAATGATGATTTCATAAGTTATTACTGCGTTGAATATACGATATACCTTGCAGTTCCGCAACAGAGCGTTTTCGTTTTCATTATCATTTTTTTTATTGTTTTTTAAATTATTCGACATGATTTAAATGAAGATTAAATCGCATATTGCATGGTGCTTATATCGAAATGTTGTACTTATTATCAATTATACTAGACAACTAATTTTGTATAAGTTAAAAATACACACAATAATGATAAGTTAACCATAACTTTATTATACATTATGTCTATTTTTACATTAAAAAAAAATTTCCTATTCATCCCATGTACACAAATATAATTGTATTGACTTTCAGCCTTCGTTAAAAAAAAAAAACAATTTACGAAACTGAGGTGACAGGTAGGTACTTACTACAAAACCAAAACCATTTATAAAGTTTAAACAAATGCTGTTGAACAAATCCCAACTACAGGTGTCCAACATGTTAAGTACCATATATTATTATTATTCAACCTCCTTTGTTAGACTGACGTGATTCGAATTTTCTCATCGTAAGGTTTTTATTAATTCTGTTAATCTGTAGCCTGCGGGTGACAAATAAATAGGTTAGATTAAAATAAAATAAAATAAAAATAAATTAAATAAAATCGAGCACATTAACATATTGGTTATGTATAACTTATGAATAATCATAGCATATATTTTTGCTATATTTATTTATTTTTATTTATTTTCAAAGGTTAAAATACAATATTAATATAACACGGTTGTATATTAGACATACATATAAATAAACCATACAATTTATTTATTAAATAATGGGTCTTTGGCCAAAACGAATCATTCTAATAATACGGTGTTTAAACAGATAGACGATTATAATGGCTTAAACCCTGAAGTATAGTATTTATTAGTGTACGGTATACCTACCATGTCGGTGAGACGTTGTCGATGACACGATACGAAATAGAGCTATTTAAATTTCCCTCCGACTTCTTACTCAAAACAGACCCTCGACAAGCCTTATTGTAACATAATCGGCAGGTGGGAGAGTCAACCTGGTCTCACTGTTCAAATCCCGAAGTGGCTGATTGAGATATACGTGTCTACGTGACCGTCTGGGCCGCTATGGTCCTTGAAGATTATAAACTTGTTAATATCTCGGGCTACGTCATAGTAGTTAATACAATAATTATATTATTTCAATTAAAACTATGAGCTTGGATCACTAAGTTAAAAAAATAATTTCTGAGAGAGAATCTGACTTATCTGATAGAGAAATTCATTCAGCCTAACGTATTACGAACGTTATGAAAAACGGTCAACCAATTTCTCTTGTACCTTAAACTTAAGCCCAACAACAATAATAAATATTATATTCTAATTTATATTCAATACTGTACACAAAAACCAAAGTTTAATTGTCCTATAAGACCACTAGAGTAGTACTCTATATTGTAAGTGTGCCAGGTCTATGGACACTCACCTAGCTACTGCAATCATCCACCCCACTGCTGCAAGATTGGGGATGATCATTCCACAGTAGGTACCAACGATAAAATCAACCGAGCCAAATACGCACAATGCGGGGGTGATCATATTAACTATAAAGGATGTCCAAAACACAAATCTCGTATCACGGGAAGCTCTTTTAGCTAAGCTAAGTTGATAGAAAAAATTTAAAAGTTTAAAGTTAATCATTACCTATCCTATTTTTTTTTTTAAACGAGTAAAGTTAAAATGTTAAAATGCATATGGAAACTTACAGTTAACTTATGAATTTAAGTTAAGTTATTATTTTTTTTTTTAAATAGCCAATAATATTGTCTAAAATAATAAAAATTAAATTAAATGTTTATGCAATATGCATCATCAATAATAATTGTATTATATTATTTAATTTTTCATAAATAACGTAACGTGGATTCGATTAAAAATAAGTAGTTATATTTTGTGACGGAGCACACTAACGAAAACTGTTTTTTTTCGGGGCCGACACATAGAACATAATGCAACATCTACAATTTCACGTATAAAGCGATAGTGACCCGGATGTAACTACGATATACACACAACCACGCCGCTGTTGAAAATGAACTTCCCGCCACCAGAAATAGGCGCCACTATAAAAGGCCGATTCCCGATTACCTATACAAACCACGAACAAAAAAAGGGTATCTGTGGATAGAGCAGATTATACCCGTCACATATTTGACATCCGTCAAATAAATATCGGCCGAAACACAGGAGAAACAGCGCCGACAGTAAACACACCACGTCGGCTACCCAGCGTGAATGTTTTCTACAGTCGGTACGGTGAAGTGTATAATATATATTATGTATGGGGTGCACGCGAACCAAAATCATCTGGACATCTTACGTCTTCCCAACTCGACACAACACTCCAAAAAAATATTGGGATAGAAGAAAGAAGAACATCAACCAGCAGCGGTTACCCGCAGTTACACTCGTCGGGTCGTCGGGCGGCGAGCAGCGTTCACAAGGCGAAGGAGACCAACGGAATTGCTGTAACTTCAGTGCGGCAGAGAGGACGAACCGACCAGAAGCCATCTCGACGACCTACGGCGTGTGATTGCCAGCGGCTTTACGCGCCCGGTTCTCCTCGTTCACCGGCAACGGTCAAACAGTCGATTTAACACGGAGACCGCAAAAAGTGTCATTTCCAGGACTATGAGCCCGATCCCACCCTGTAGACCGCTTGCTCAGGCGTTGGTTTCGAGCTTCTCGACGTGACCACGACTTACCCAACACTGCGAAGAGGGAAGTCTTGGCACGCTCCCATTTACGTATACAAACAATCGTATACACGACATGTATTGACCGTCATAATGTCGTAATTTTTAATCGTGCCTCTGCATAAAAACAGTTAAGTTAATGAAAATCGAATTTAAAAAGAGTTAAAATTAACTTAACTTTAACATTGTAACTGATTTATGCCCAGGCTTGATTTTAAATCAGATCAATCGGCTCAACCACCATATAATAGTAATCCGAACGAACAACAGAAGAAAACGCTTTTTAACACTCTCGATCACCAAACCAAATCCTCTTACGAATTCATTAATTCTGACTCCAATATAATATCTGCTTACATAATAGTTCCATTGTCGAAAAATTGTTATCCAAACTTGTGTAGCTCATACTGCGGTAATTCATTTTTAGCTTTTAGCTTTAACTTCTAACAACGGTACTTCACAAACAACATATCGTATAGTCTAATATGGTTGTTTATATTTGTTAAAACCATTGCAAAAACAAAAAAAATTTGTATCAAATATTAAAATTATTAAATAAAAATTGTAAAAATATATTGGTGGTAATATTATTATTTCTACCTAATTAAATTTAATAATTATTATTTTTATATCATTACTCACACAATATTTTATCTGTTTGCCTATACATTAATACTTGCCCTTCAAGATATATTTATCTAAATTTCAAATTTTAATAAAATTTCATCATTATTACTATTATAAAAAACTAAACCTACTTATGTACCTAATTGTTGAGACTAATGGTTTTGACCAAGACAAGTAAAATAAAAAAAAAACCTTTTTTTATAATATTATATTTTTTATGAACAAAAATAATAAGTGTTTCTAGTATAATAACACTAAAGTGTCTCAAGTATCGTTATCATTTGTATAATCAATAGGTACATCCATATTATTTTATTTATATAAAAAGAGGATATTCATCACAGCAGTGCAGTTGTTAATTTATTGAACAAGGCTACAAACGTTTGAGTACTTACATAATACAAATTTAATTAAATAACTATTTTATTATAATTAAATTATTTAAAAAAACATATATTTGAACAGTCAAGAAAAGTTGGTAAGTTAACAATTTTGGTATACAATTTAGTAACTTAGTATTTAGTCACCTATTTATAGACAAAATAATTTTTTCATTTTAATTAATACTGTGCCTAACTGATATCGTTTATTTGGGGTCATTAAAAATAAAAATAAACTAAATAATAAAATATCTCTAAAAGCTATTATCTCTATTAGCTTCTTTTACACACTATAACGTTTTCTCCATTATATTTCGACTCGTTTTATATGTGTTTTTGTATATTTTATATCGATGAAAACATTTTCGCAGGGTTAAAAACCATAAAACATTAATAAATGATTTGTCACAAGTTGTTTTGATGCCTGTTCAAAAATGTTATTTAGATACCATATTATAAGACATTTTTGTATGCATAAAAATTACAAATATTTGTCAATTATTTTTTATTTAAAAATGAAAAAAAAATGTTTAATTTTTACAGCTGAGACTTGAATATTTAAAACAAAATTATACAGAATAGTTATTAACATTGCTATTAACGTAATTTGTTTTTATAGGTATTAGTAATATTATGGTAGAAATTATTGGATAATCCATATTAAAAAAATTATTACCGTTTCAAGGTTATTTTACAACAATATGAAGACATTTTTTGTATGCTGTCAGTTGATGATAGCATATTATATATGTGCAACAGTAAATGGTGATGTATATTTCAAAGCTTCCAAGCCAAATAATGAGTGGTGGTCAAGTACAATAATTTATCAAGCATATCCAAGATCATTCAAAGATAGTAATAGAGACGGAACTGGAGATTTAAAAGGTATTTGCTATCGAAATTCAATTCATTTTAAAAGCCAAAGGGATACAGTTTATGAATGTTTATTAACATTTTCTAACTGCTTGACCAAGTATTCGTCAAAAACTAGTGAATTGTAAATAATAACATTTACCGCTATTTTGTTATTAGTTTTTTCACTTTTTCGAAAATTAGTTACTCAGAATTTCTTAATATTTAGTTCCTCACTAAATCATAAAGAAAATAGTTAATTCCCAAAATAACCACAGTGGAAAATATTGAATACTTACTTCACTCCACCCAATATATAAAACGTTGAAATAATTTTGAGTTTATTATGTAACATTTTTAGGTATTACCCAGAAACTTGACCATTTCGTTGATCTTGGCATAGAAACAATATGGGTCGGTCCATTTTTCAAATCACCTATGGATGATATGGGATATGATGTCGAAGACTTTTATATGATTGATCCTATGTTTGGTACGATGAGTGATTTGGAAGAATTAGTTTTTGAAATGAATAAGAGAAGTAATACTTTGTTAGAAATACTAATAATTGTATAGATTTGTATGTTTTTAATAATTTATATTTTTATTTTAGATCTTAAACTGATAATTGACCTTATACCAAACCATTCAAGTTACAAGTGCGAGTGGTTTCAAAAATCAATCAAACGAGAAGGAAAGTACAAAGATTATTACGTTTGGCGTGACGCTTCAAATCAACAAGATGTCATCAGTAACTCATCGATTACACCGCAACCACCAAATAATTGGGTAAATATCGTATTGAGGTTAAATGTTTGATTGGAATTTCAACATTTTAAAAGGATACAAATATAAAATATTCGGTACTTCACGAATTTCGTGGCTATTCACTGTATTATATATTATCTTTAATGAAATGCCTTATTTTTAATTTCCAAAGTAAAATGTTCAACTTCAATTTTATAATTATATACAATTTTGCTAGAATTTTAAGATTTTATTTATAAATAATTGGTACTTATCAAAATATTTGTAAATTAAAATGTATTTATTTTATTACAGTTGAGTCTATTTGGAGGTCTTGCCTGGACATGGATTGAAGAACGAAAACAATTTTACTACCATCAGTTTAGTAAGGAACAACCAGACTTCGACATGAGAAATCCGGATGTAAAGCAACAAATTTTAGTAAGTTGTTGTATAAAACCTGGAAAAGCATTTTGTGAGGGTGACTATCATTTAGCCAAATTATTAGGGGCTTTTATAATTCATTAATAATTGTTTTCTTCTATTATTAGTTACACAATGTTCGTAGTATGTTGAACGAACTGTCAAAAACTTTACAAAAATGTTATTATTAACTATTAGATGCATTATTTATAATATTATGTCTAGAAAATCTTTCTTTAAATATTTGAACAACATTACAAATATACCTATAGCCTATATTATACAGGTACACAATGTGACTATTAATTTTGATTGTAACAAAATCGAATTATTTTAAAAATGTTGGTCAAATTTTTACTTTTTAAGATTCTTAGTAGATGTAAATATTGGTAGTGAAACCCTAAGTTGAAGTATTAAGTTTTTCACTGATCTTAAAGGTGACTGCAGACGAAAACGAACACATCATGGTGAAATAAACTTTTAAATGAAATAATTGATTTTGATCCATTCGGAATCTAAATATGTTATAAGAAATGTCTTTTATTACTTCGTATGTCAATGTTCATCATTTATGGTCTTGATATTGTTTTAAAGGATGTAATGGGATTTTGGATGGATAAAGGCGTTAATGGATTCCGATTTGATGCTCTCAAGTATCTGTACGAAAATGTTTCATTTCCCGATGAACCATTTTTGCCGGGAAAGAGCAACGCGTCCGAATACTTGGAATTTAATCATACATATACCCAAGATCAACCTGAAATTATCGATAGTGTATTAGAATGGAGAGCGTTTATGATTAATCATACAAACAGCAAGAATATATCAATTTCTGGGTAATTGCAATATAATTACACAAACATTTTATACAATTTTATAATTAAATAAAAAAAGCATGTAAGTGAGTTACAGTCTGCTGTACATTATGTGTCTGGTAAATCTATAATATTATTACTTAGTAAATACTAAATTATACTATATTATTGTGATTAAAATAATGTATTTTATTATGGGGTATTAATACTACATTTGTAGGTTAGTATTAAACCTTCTCATATTATGACAATGTGCTATTCTAGGTAAAATGTAAAAATCATCTGAAAGAAACATGAATAATATTTTTAACTTACTATAAAATAACTGAAATTTTTATTATTGGTTTGTATGTAATTTAATTGTATACATACGTACATATTTTTTTCTGGATTTCCAATTAGTGCATATGCGTATTAATATAAATATTTTATTTTTATAAGTTCAATTATTCCGGGAGCAAGCGATGACAAGCGTTAGTTTACTAAACACACACATTAGTTACTGCTGCCAGCCTTTACGCTACACAAACCGTATAATTTAAATAATTTTTATCTTATTCCTGATGTTGTGTTATTAGTTTAAACTATAATTAACAACAAGTTAATTAAGAATTTTTATAAATGAAAATCATAAATTTATATCATTATGTTGGACAGTTTGATGACATCAGAATCGTATTCAAGCGTAGATTTGTTAATGCAATATTACGGAAACTTCACGAACCCTGGAGCTCAAGTACCGTTTAACTTAGCACTAGTGAGATTCCCAAAAGATGATCATATAGTTGAAAATATAGATTCAATAATAAAAAATTGGTTGGCCAATTTACCAGAAAACGCAGTGCCCAATTGGGTGGTAAGTATTTTTAATTTGAATGAATATATTATGTTTTTTTAGAGATTATATTATGATTTCCTTCACAAATAACTTTTTGTTTCATTATTATTTAAATCCTAATATTTATGACGTATTATATTGATAATTATTTCATAATTTAGATGGAAAATCACGACAATTTTAGGACGTCATCGAAGTTTGGTGCTGAAGCAGCAACAATGTTTACTGCATTGAAATTAGCCCTTCCCGGGATTGAAGTCACCTATTACGGTAGTGAAATTGGAATGGAAGACAACATGTATTTGAGACCAGAACAAGTAACAGATGATAAACTTGCGGGTAGTCCGAGAGTATCGAGACCAAGAGATTATCAAAGGTGTCCAATGCAATGGGATGATTCTATTTGCGCAGGTATATATAATGAGAAATCTTATACATTTTAACAAAAATAATTTCATTAATTTATACATCACAGTTACGTCATGACAAATACAAACATAAGTGTTGACAATTTTCAATATAATATGTTCTAAACCGATTGAAACTTCTACTTCTTCTCCTTCTTCTGCTTTATGGTTTGTGGGCCATTAAGACCATTTCGTCACACATTCTGAAAAATAAATTAAAACATTTTTTTAAATATTATTAGTCTTTAAGATAAAAATGATCGACTACTATCACCCAGTTACTGAATAGTTAAAATCCATTACGTAAATTGCATAAGATTACAAATGACATAAATAAGTTGTCATTTAAGAAGTCATGATATTATATTGAGATAAGATAAGATAGTATTTATTGTCCAAAATCAACAATAGATCAAATTAATAAACTAACCTACTTTTGAATGTTAAAATGTCCTAGTGCAGTAACATATATAATATACAGAATGGCGTAGATATAGTACAGAGCCTTGTGGGACACTATTATTAATTTCCAATTCATTTCTTACAGTATATGCGAATTTAACTTGTTGTTTTCTATGTTGAAAATACGATTGAAGTGGATTAAATGATGTAGGTATTAACTATGCCTATTGATTTGAAAATATTTAGGTAGTTAATTATGACAAATACTATCAGAAGTGTTACTATTAGGTCCATATAACGACACCTAAGGTTTTTTTATTTTCTTCGATACTTGTATACCTATATGTTTCTAGAGAGTTGTGCCAGACTACCTATCTTCGTCCCAATATTTTCTCTAAAACCATAATACGACGATGAAAGGATTGCATTTTATTCAAGATATCTTAGAAAATTATGCTTTTCGGCTCTTTCGAATATCTTAGAGAAAACATTTAGTTAAGATTTTGGTCTATAATTCGAAATATCTGATGTATTACCTCCTTTACGTATAGGAGTCATTATAGATATATTGAAAGAACACAAAACTATGTATTAGAATATCGGCAAAATGTCCCTTTATTTTTGTAATTACAATAATTGAAATTATATCTTTACCTGGGGATGAACCATCTCTTAAGTCATATATTAATTCAAGAATTTCTAGTTGAGTTATCTTTGTAAGAAATAATAAGTAATGACTGGTTATAGCTGGGTTTCATCAAGAGAAGTTATATTTTCATTATTAACTGAGTAAGTATTTATAAGATTTGATTTTCTGGTAAAATATGTGGTAAAAGTGTTTTCGGCTAGAAAGGGATAGGTGCTAAAATCGTGTATTGAGTTATTTATATTAATGTTCTAATATTGAGAAGGATAATGAGGTTGGGGCGTTATTTCCTTTATAGATGGCAGTGACTTTTTTGGATGTCTACTTTTTTTTACAAAAATTTTACGATAAATTTCTAGTTTCCGTTTTTTAATTATGTTTGTTAATCAATTTCTATACTGTGTATATTTATTGATTAGGGCTCTGTTAAATGGATGCTGCAGTCTTGTTGCAATATGTAAATTTCCTTTTTTATCGAGCGGACTATAAATGGTGCTATCCAGTGTTTGTTTTAATTGTTATTTTTTGTCTATTCATAGCACAGAGCTTAAAATTATTTAAGATTGTATTTGTAAAAAATGTTATTCTTTCTTCTAAACACTTAATTGTTTTTATTTCTTTAAAATCTATTTTATTTGATAACAACGATAATTTATTATAATATAATCGACATATTTATACGAAGTGTAGTTGGTGCTTTTGTTTTGTTGTGTAGTATGATTATTTAGTGTCTATATGAAGGATATTGATCAGTGATTAAGGAATCTATAAATGCAGTGGGTATGACTTATTGTTTTTTGTAATCTTTGATAAAAATATGGTTTATACATTAAATTGATTTAGGTAAATTCAGTTTCAAAACTATAGATTCAATAATATTAAAATACAAACAATCATGGTAAAATTATTGAACAAAAAGGTATAAATTTATTTTTTGAAATAAATTACGAATTAATTTTGATTAATTCGGATACTTACTACTACTTCATATGTAACTACACAATTAAAGTTAAAACAAGTTGTTTGATAAAATGATTATTAAAAAGAAAAATCATTACAATTTCCTTTAAAGGTTTCACTGAAGAGAAAAAGTCATGGTTACCAGTAAATCCAAATTATTACAAAATGAACGTCGAATCCCAGAAAAAAATACCAACTAGTAGCTATAATTTTTATAAAAAAATGTCTCAACTTCGAAAAACCGATACGTTGAAAAACGGCGATCTACGGACGTATAATATTACGAAATCGATTTATATTTTAAAGAGGTAACCAAAAAATGAACAATATAGCTACTTAGAAAAGTAGAGTAATGTGTTATTTTCGGTTATTACTAATCATCTAATGATTTTTTTCAGATCGCTATTAGAACACGAATCATACATAGTCGTAACTAACTTTGGCAGTGAAACGGAAACGGTCATCTTGTCCAATGTAATACATAATCTCAAAGATGAACTATTTGTATATTTGGGAAGTGAAAATTCTGGTTACAGCCCAGGGTAATTAGATTTTTTAATTCAAAATAGGTGTAACGGATTATCAGTTTTGCATTGATTAATGCTTTCATAAATTTGTGTTTTTGATTTTAGCACCAAAGTATCTACCATTTCAACTGGGAATCCAATACAACTGCGACCACAGTCAGTAGTCGTAGTAACAGATAAATTTATTGAACCTGATTTACCGAGAAATAATGCTGTTGGTAGTACAACAGGCAGTAGTACGAAATTAATTAGTTTAATCTGTATTTGTATGCTGAAAAGATGGATTTTATAAATTTATCTTACATGTTAGTTGCTTATTAATTCATTGTTATACTCTTATTAAGTAAATTGTAATATATATTTTTTAAGGAACATTATGTGTATTATTAATATGTTTTGACCTCTAATTCAGAGAGTTTTTAAGGTACCTAGTAAATTTGATTTAGGTGGTTCACGGGGAGGGAGTTTTTCAGTATATACCATAAGTTTTTGACGAAATATTTTTGGTTTTGTGATTATTATTAAAAAATTAACATCTATAAAGGCAGAAATTACTTAATAAATATTATGTTTACAATAATTTCCTAGACATTGCACAATTTTCAATTTATTGTGAAATGTTGACTGTTTTTATAATTTTTATAGATATTTATAAATGTAGACTTTTAAATTCTGAGCTTAGCGATGAATGTGTATGCATGTAGATCAACATTTTAAATTTCTAGCAGTTTCAAAAACTCCTAGAATAACTAAAACATTCATTAAATATACTAAGTTTATGGTATATTTAAGTACTTATCAATGACTAAATTGAGTTGGGTTATTTGTAAGCACATGCAACATTTGATTAGTATTCGTTTTTTTAAAAATGTATGCCGATAACAAAAATGTACAAGTCACAACATGTTTAATGTCTGTTACCTCTGTCACACAAATGGATAATTCATGCTCCATTGTCACACATAATATTATACAAAACTAGTTTATACTTGACTGAATTAGTCGAATAATCATGCACATAAGTGCTTCTATAAATGGTGACCAGCCAAGCATTCTCAAATCCATTTTTTATAATAATTTGTTGTTTTTTGAGTAAAATGTCTATTATTCATAAAAATCCTCACACTGTTTCGTGAGCATCTTTTTCGTACCAATTACTCCACTTATGTACCTACATTGTTGAGAGGAAATATATGTATTATGGAAATTGTATTCTGGAGTAGAATGTTTCACACACAATTTACACATTGTATGAACTATGAAGTCGAGGCTTGGGTACCTGATGTGTTATCTGTCGAGTAAAATACAATTTAAAAATGTTTTACCACACATGTATAAAAAGCAGTTACCTCGCCGATTTATATAGAATAAGAAAATAATTGTTAATAAATGTATGTTGTATGAATTATGTAGGGTTAAGCTCAAAACCTAAGTTACGAAACACTTGTTATTTATTTCCAAATTACACTATAATATGTGTAAAAAGAGAAGCTTACTCGAAAAACATAACTTACCCGAAGTTTGGATGTTTGATCAAAAAATATTAATAACTAGGTATTTATGAAATAACATATTATGCAGGTTCCTCCACATCGGAAAGCGTTGATATGCCAACAGTCTATATCAATTTAGAATCCAGCGTGAGTGATTGATAAAAAGTTCAATTAAAGTATTAACGTCATTTTTGCGTAACATAACGAAATATATTATAAATAATTATTAAATTACAATTATAATATTTTAATTAAAATTGTGTCATATTTGTTATCATATTATAGATATATTTTGAATTAATTTAAATAACAAGTGCTTCTTAATTGTTTTATAGTAACATTAAGGTATCTCATGCTTTGTATCTTTTTTTTTTTTTTTTTTTTAAGCTTCGGCAACTGAGGCCATTAGCTGTAGGTTGTGTGGTACTGTAGAGTTTTGGGACTGTAGGGGGGGGAACACGTGTGTGTTTTTGTTTTGGCAGAATTTCTATTGGGCACCCGTAGGTTTCTGCCATGCCCGGTTGGGGGATGGCGGCACTTGTTCTCCGGTCACCGCGACTTGTCCAGAGAAAAATGCCGCCCGGTGTCCGAGGATCGAACCGCGATCGGCTGCGTCGCAGCGGACGCGTCAGACCACTCGGTCACCTCGTCCCCCCTTTGTATCTTTTATTTAATCAATGTACCAATATATTTTTAATTTATATATTTACAAATATCCTATTTTTAATTAATGTGTATTAAAAGCCTATATTATAAAATATATTTTTTGATAACATACTACTATCGTTAATATTTTATATTATTTATAATATTTATATATATTACTAGTACTATTTATTTAAATATTTATATATATATATATATAGATATATATTACAAGTACTAATATGTTTATGAACAACTACTCTTGAGGAATCATGAAATCTAATTGAATAATTTGTATCAATAGAATTTTTTTATCAACATTTAATGAAAAAAATACATGTCAACATTTTATAATTACCTTACAAAAATGTAAGGTATTAAAAAATTTTACCCTGTGAAAAAATGCTCTGTATTTCCTGAATTAACTACTGTGCATTTTTTTATTTGACCTACTTAAACTCCCAACTAAATTATCTTTCTTTTAAAAGTTATGATATTGGAGTTGAAATTCAAAGCATTTGCTTTCCTTTAAATCGACAATTTATACGCGGACTTATATTTTTCGGACAAATAGTTAAATCCGTAACATTATAAAATCAATACATTGGTCAATCCACTCAGAATCTAAAAATATTATAAATCTACCAAAAGTTAAGCATAAAAAATTCTGGTTTGTGCACATCAACTCGCAAGTACATCAATTTAAAAATACTGCTTTGACATATTTCGATCTATTTAATACCTATTCGAGGTAAGTATCTATTTATGTCATTCTTTCAACATAAAACGAAATATGTATACAATCATAGGTAATATAATTATATTAATTTAATTAATATTGTGTAAATACAATTATTATTATCAATATATATTTTAATAGGACATAAATAATAAGTATTTGCTTTGTAGTAACATAAAAGCATTACTCACTGTTTTATATCTTTTGGTTAATCATTACATATTAAATTTAATTTAATTTATATAAACGGAAGATATTATTCAAAGCAGTTCAGTTGATTATCGCTCTTAAATGTTTGAGTTCTCATTAAATACAAATTTAAGTTAATTTCATTATCTCGTATAACAATCTAGAGGAGGTTATAAGTTAATATTTAAGGCATTTAATATTTATTAGTTATTTTATTATGAACCTATTTATAGATAAAAAATGTCTCAACTTCGAAAAACCGATACGTTAAAAAACGGCGATCTACGGACGTATAATATTACTAAATCGATTTATATTTTGAAAAGTTAACCAGAAAATGAACAATTTAGCTACTTAGAAAAATAGAGCAATGTGTTATTTCCCGATATTACTAATCATCTAATGATTTTTTTTCAGATCGCTATTAGAACACGAATCATACATAGTCGTAACTAACTTTGGCAGTGAAACTGAAACGGTCATCTTGTCCAATGTAATTTATAATTTCAAAGATGAATTATTTGTATATTTGGGAAGTGAAAATTCTGGTTACAGCCCGGGGTAATTAGATTTTTTAATTCAAAATAGGTGTAACGGATTATCAGTTTTACATTAATTAATGCTTTCATAAATTTGTGTTTTTGATTTTAGCACCAAAGTATCTACCATTTCAACTGGGAATCCAATACAACTACGACCACAGTCAGTAGTCGTAGTAACAGATAAATTTATAGAACCTGATTCACCAAAAAACAATGCTGGTGGTATTACAACGGGCAGCAGTATAAAATTAATTAGTTTAATCTGTATATTTATGCTTACAAGATGGATTTTATAAGTTTATCTTATAATATATTAGTTGTTAACTTTGAGTAATACATTGTTTTTAAGTTAATATTAATAAATAATGTTTTTTTAAGAACTTTGTGTGTGTTGAATTTTTTCACGATTTTAAGGTCATTAAATTCTAATTTATTTTTTATGTGAGTCAACTTTTTGTAAGCAGTAAATATGTTTTGTACCTCTAATTCAGAGAGTTTTTCCGGTACCTAGTTAACTTGATCTAAGTGGTTCACGGGGAGGGAGTTTTTTAGTGGGTAGCAAAAGGTTTCCACAATATAATTTTTGTAGTTTGTTCGTTATTCAAAAATTAACACATAAAGACATAAATTGCTTACCAAATATTATTTATAAAACTATTTTCTAGGTTTGAATTTTATTTTAAATACATTTTTAAATTTTGCACTTTTTATGATTTTTATAGACATTTTTTAATGTCAATTTTTAGATTCTGAGGGGAGCAATGAATATATTTTATACATCATTTTAGAATGATGTGTGTTTTGTGGAAATTATAATTCGATTTTTGAACTTAATAATATATTTTCCAAGTGTATCTAGTTAGGCTTAGGGAGGTCAAAATATAAAATTCTTAGCTGTTTATAGACACTCGCAATATTTGATTTGTATTTTTTTTTTTAAATTTATAGTTAATACCGATACTAAATGTTTAGAACACATTAAAGGTCGGTTACCTGGGCCACCTGAGGTTAAATGTTGACAATATTTATCAAATTGAAAATTGAAAATGATTTTGTGTTTGAAAATTTATAAAATTTTCGATTTATATAGCTCAAGATTGAAAATTTAAAATAATGTTCTACAATTTCCACAAAGGTTCCATTTTTTTTCCATAACTATAAGATCTAAGGAACGTAAGAATACAATTATTTTTTAATGATATTTTAAGTTCAAAGTGCATATTAACACAAAGAATAACTTTTATCATTTTGTTGTTATTCGGTTTCACGACAGCCCAATTTTACATAGGTATATTTTATATTAAATATTTAAAAAAAAATTATTTTAAAAAAGCTGGTGATTGGATTTCATTTTTCTGTACATTAGGTGTCTAAGAGGTTGATGTAATGGATGGTATTACATTTGAATTGAATTATATTGTTTCTTTGTATACGAAAAACGATGAGAAGAGGAGACAGTATGTCAATCAAGGATAATTTATATTGTTATTATTTCTTCTTAATATGGTAGCCGGTAAGTTAAATGAAATTACCAGTAATGCTGGAAAAATATTAAATATAACAGGTTATTATACCTATGCAAAATTGGGCTTATTTATAACCGAATTACAACAAAATAATAAACGCTATTCTTTCTGTTTTAAATCTGAAATTTTGTCCAAATTTGAACTTAAAATATCTGTAAAAAATAATTGTAATCATAATTTTTTAGATTTTTAGTTACGGAAGAAACTGAACTCTACAGCTTAGAATAAGTCAAAATATTTTGAAAATGTTATCAGGTATATGAATTGATAAAATAATATAGTGTAAAATTCAAGTGCCTGCAGTTATTCTTTTTTAAATTATACAACAGAATGAGAAAATTGGTACATAAAAAATCGACTGGATATTCAATGTTGTACACATTTCAACTTCAAATGCTCATAAAAATTTAATTTGACTTTCTGGTAGAAATTTTTTTTGATTAACGTAGACAAGCTGATAGGAATCCTGTACAACAATTTTTAAATCTTAGATATAATAATAAAAATGTTTATGAATTTCTAACTAAATAGAATTTGCCCATTTTCGTGAATTTGCGAATTCTGTCGAAATTCTTAGTTTAAACGCTCATAAAAATTGTTATGGATTTACGTTCAACTTTTGTTTAAATTTCTACCAATAAAAACTTACGATTAATCTTATATTACATTTAAATGTTTCTAGACAAAACGAACAACTTTTTATCGACATCAATTTAAAAAAATAATTATCGAAAATTTCATATGCCTATAAATAGTTCAGTTCAACACCAGTCCAAATATGTTGAAAATTGTATGGTGTATAGAAAATGCTGACACATATATTCAGTGAACATTTAATGTATCTACAGTCATTTTTGTTAAAGTTCCACTACAAGCCAAAATCGATTTCCTTGAAAACTGGTTTTGCGTGAAAATTCCCGTTTTTCTTTGAAAAGGAATGTAAATTAAAAGTATTTTCCATAAGTTATTGTTAGAGGAATTAATAAAATAAGTTGCGTGAAAATTCAAAATAATTGTTTATGAGCGTCTGAAGTTAAAATGTTGACAAACTTTATAGAAAAACCCAAAACTATTTCAAGTTAAAATTCATAAAAATTGTTTACGTAATAATGTAATAACGTAAAATATTTAATTATTATTAAAGTTATTATGTTATTTTGTTGTAACTTAAAAAAATATTAATGAATTATAAAATATTCTTAGAAGTATTATATTACCGTCTCCGTTGAGATTCATTTTTGGTATTCAATGATTTTACAATGAATTCAAATTTAACTCTTCCGTTAGAGTGAATTATAAAAAATATTAGGATTACTCGAAACCTTCAATAGCATAAATCGCCTTTCTGGATTTTTTTACATAGCAACTTAGCTTACTAGCTAGTTCTTACACATTTTTACATTTAAGTTAATTTTTTTTATATGAAAACACGCATATTTTAAGTTGACCGTAAGTACATGCAATTTTCACTGAATGCTTGTATTAGCATTTTCTATACACCAACATATTTTGACTAGTATTCAACTATTTATAGGCATATGAAATTGTCGTTTTTTCCGTAACTAAAAAATCCGAAAAATATATAAATAGTTATTTTTACGACATTTTAAGTCAAATTTGGACAAAATCACATACTAACAAAAATTATAATAACGATTTTTGTTATTTAAAATTTATAATACACTCCTTAAAAAGTTAAAAGTCGAAAGAGTTCCTGGGAATGCCCTTATGGAATATGGTAGCATAACAAAAGTATCAAAATTTACGAAAATTACGAAAATTGTACATACTTAAATTAAACGTTAAGGAGTAACTGGCTTTTAGTGATTATAGCAAATCTAGTAGGTTTTTAAATATCTAGTATTCATCTAAATGATCTAATTTGCCGTTCCCAGCGGCGCCGTGTGCACTGGTTCCAAAACAGCCCAATTTTTCCAGTATCACTGATAATTTTAAGATAATATTAATTCAAATTTAAACTTACCGGCTACAGTATTATTAATAATGATAACAATAAAAATATAATATTAAATATCCTATACCAACAAACCGTCTCCACTCAGAATCGTGTATACAATGATTTTATATCATAATGTAACCCATTTGTAACCTACTGTACAGCAGAGCGACATCCACTTCCCCACTTTTTTTAATTTGATAGTGAACCACATATGAGGAATCAGGTATTCAAATTTAATAATTTTCACCAAAAGTAATTTTTTAATCAGCATTTAATGAAGAAAAAAACCAAAAAAATAAAAAAACGTGTCAAATGTCTGTAATTACCACACACCCTTGCCACCACAGTTTTAATTATTTATTTTTATTTATTTTCAACGTTCACGTACCTGCGCTATTAATATAACATAGTTATTTTCAGCATGTATATAAATACACAATAAAATTAATTTATTAAATAAGATACTGAAGAATGATGGGTCATTGGACAAAATGTTTTCCATTCTAACAATATTGTGTTTGAACAGATGGACAATTATAATTGCTTAAAATCTTAAAAGAACGCGAAACGAGAAAATATTACGGAAGCTGAAGAATGGAGCCCTGAAGTTCATTCTAAGAAAGCAAGGCAGGATGTTTGTGATACTGACAAAACTATTAAATCATTGCATAAACTTTTCTGAGCAAAGACATAATATGTAGTGACAATTAGTATACATACAGATAAAAAACAAACTGTTGATTGAATTCGTTCGACAAAGAAATCGAAGACAGTAATTATTATATCATTCTTGCGTAATATAACGAAATAATGTTATATTTAATATAAGTAGTTGACGAAGATCCGGGTATTGATCAGGAAGACGGCCGTACTCCGATTGTTCTGTAAATGGTCGGGTTGGTTTCAATAAGCACAACACTTAATATTTTATCTACTAATTAAGAATAATGATTGATATTGGTCATATTTTACACCTAAGAAACAATAATAAATTATGTATCGTGGCAGGGTCGACGACCTGGATCCCCGGCAAGCCTTGTGACGTAGTCGGCATGATAGGAGAGTCAACTTGGTCTCACCGTTCAAGTTCCGAAGTGGCAAATTGAGAGACTACTTAGACGTAATATTTTAAGTAATATTATTTTTTCCCACTTATTAAATATAATAATTATTAATTTTATGTCATTACTCACGGAGTACGTTATCTGTTTGCCTATGCATTAATAATTGCCCTTCAGAATACATTAGAAATTTAAAACTTTAATATTATTTCATCGTTATTATTATAGAAAGCTACTCATGTACCTAATCGTCAAGACTAATGGGTTTGACCAAGACTACTAAAATAAAAATAAAAACTATTTTCATAACAATTTATTTTTTATGAATAAAAACAATGAGTGTTTGTTGTATAGTAACAATAAATTATCTCAAGTATTGTTATCGTTTGTACAATCAATAGGTATATCCATATTATTTTATTTATATAAACAGAGGATATTCATCACATCAGTTCAGTTGTTAATTTATTGAACAAGGCTACAAACGTTTGAGTGCTTACATAATACAAATTTAATTAAATAACTATTTTATTATAGTTAAATCATTTAGACAAATATCTCTTTGAACAGTCAAGAAAAGTTGGTAAGTTAACATTTTTGGTATAAAATATTCATAAAATTTAGTAAGTAACTTAGTATTTACCTATTTATAGACAACATAATTTTTTCAAAATATTTAATACTGTGACTTTTGTTAGTAGATCTGTAGATATTTATCTACTATTGTTCAATTTTAAATTCAAAACCGATTTTGTTTTTTTGGAGTAATTAAAAAAAAACCCTTAATAATAAATTATCTCTAAAAGTTTGTTCTAGCGTCGTCTACACATCATTACGTTTTCCCTATTATATTTTGATCATTTTGAGCTATTTATAGATATATTCAATTTTTAAAATTTGTATGTTTTTTCTATTTTTGCTGGGTCAGAAATCATAAAACTTCAATAAAATATTTGTCATAAGTTGTTATAATGGCTGATCAAAAATATTTTAATGAGATACATAAAGTAAAACATTTTAAAACTATTTATAAAGTTTTTAATTATTATACAGCTAAGGCTAGCATATTTGATACAAATTTCGGCAGAATAATTATTAATATTGCTATAGAGTAATTTTTTTAATAATAGTAATAATATTATGGTATAGGAATAATTGGATAATCCACATTAATTGCATATTCAAAAATTGTATTATTTTCGTTTCAGGTTATTTCACAACAATATGAACACATTTTCTGTAAGCTGTCTTTTGATGATTGCATATTATACATGTGCACCAGTAAATGGTAATGTATATTTCAAAGCTACCAAGCCAAATAATGAATGGTGGTCAAGTACAATAATCTATCAAGCATATCCAAGATCGTTCAAAGACAGCAATAAAGACGGAATCGGTGATTTAAGAGGTATTTACTGTCAACATTTAATTTAATTTAAAAAACAAACGGGGTATTTGTTTCAGCTGTATTTATTTTTGGAAGAATGTGAATTAGCATTGATTAGTTCACCGTAATATTAAATATATGATCAATAATTAAATACAAAAAATCAATTCTGGCCGAAATCCTTTTAAAAGACTAACTATTAGCATATATTTCTATAGAAATATCAAATATCATTTAATTTAGAAAACAAATTGGGGTAAAAAAACTGGGTTACTTGCTTTTCATCTAAGTGAAGGTACTCCACTTTGAATCGGTCATCATATTAGATGTGTCAAATTTGAATTCGTTGATAAGAAATTTTATGCAAGAAAGCTGATTTCGAGTGAAAAAGGCAACTTTCATCATGTATCACAAAAGATTTTCTTATGTCAAATAACCTTAACTTATATGACTATTATTAAGATTTTAAAAAATCACTGTTTTTAATTAAAATAAATTGTGTAGGCAATTATATAGTATTCAGTAGTGTTATGAATATGTTCATAGTAAAAAAATAATTGTAATTATAAATTTAGAAAGATGTTTTTATATATTTAAATTGATGAAAGTACAATATATGAATAACCTTCTATACATTTTCCAGTTTTATGATTTAGAACCATAATTTCTATGAACATGAATCGAACACAAAAAAGCCAATTTTTAATGTCTACATATATTACTCAACTATAGCTAAAACATTTTGGAAATTGTGTTATATCTAAATATAATTATATCGTTATAATTTCAAATCTCTACGATTATTTACTTTTCGAATAGAATGTATTTTGTCAAAAACCGATGGAGTGAAATATATAATCACTATTTAGTTGTTTGTAAGTTTTTCAGTTTAATTAGAAAAGTACTGTGAATTTCTGTTTTTGGGCCCCTAACTAAATGCTACCTTTACCAGCAAGTAGGATCCATCGTTAATATTGAATATTAGAGAAAACATTTTTCATTTAAAAGTGTTGAGTGTTCGCCAACTCACAAAAAAACACCATTGTAAAATATTCAATATAAATACTTCTCCCTGACATACTTTAACCTTGAAGTAATTTTGAGTTCACTATGTAACATTTTCAGGTATTACCCAGAAACTTGACCATTTCGTTGATCTTGGCATAGAAACAATATGGGTCGGTCCATTTTTCAAATCACCTATGGATGATATGGGATATGATGTCGAAGACTTTTATATGATTGATCCTATGTTTGGTACGATGAGTGATTTGGAAGAATTAGTTTTTGAAATGAATAAGAGAAGTAATACTTTGTTAGAAATACTAATAATTGTATAGATTTGTATGTTTTTAATAATTTACATTTTAATTTAGATCTTAAACTGATAATTGACCTTATACCAAACCATTCAAGTCACAAGTGCGAGTGGTTTCAAAAATCAATCAAACGAGAAGGAAAGTACAAAGATTATTACGTTTGGCGTGACGCTTTAAATCAACAAGATGTCATCAGTAATTCATCAATTACACCAATACCACCAAATAATTGGGTAAATAAAGTACTGAGGTTAAATCTTTTATTTACAATATTTTAAAAGGTTATATCTATAAAATATTCAGTACCTTATGCATAATGTATATTATGTATTAACTTTAATCAAATGCTTTCTCTGTCACTTCTAAAGTGGAATGTACAACATTTATTTTATTACACAAAATATAGTTTGAATATTGAGCTATTGTTTATAAATAATTGGTGATCAAAATATTTGTAAATTAAAATGTTTTTATTTTATTACAGTTGAGTTTATTTGTTGGTCCTGCATGGACATGGATTGAAGAACGAAAACAATTTTATTACCATCAGTTTAGTAAGGAACAACCAGACTTTGACATGAGAAATCCGGATGTCAAGCAACAAATTTTAGTAAGTTGTCATATAATACCTGGGAAAGCATTTTATGCAAAACCATTCTAAGGGATGACGATCATTTTATAGTTCATTAATTCACTTAGTAGCAATTTTTTTTCTATTCTTAGTTTTACGATGTGGTATTTTGAACAAATGACTGTCAAAAACTTTATATAAATGTTATAATTAACTATTAGGTACATCATTTATATAATTTGTTAAAACTTACACTTATTACTACTGTGAATACTGCAGTGTACCATAGTATAATGCCAATAGAATAATTTTGCCTTAAAAAACCCAAAGTAAATCGTACTATGATAAAAATTGCACATGATTTCATTGAAAAAAAATTTAGTGCAAAAAAGGTCTCTTCAGCAAATAGTTTTTGAATTACAACACAATAATATTAAAATCCGGTAGTTTTTTCATAAATATTAAATTGTTTACAATCTTTAAAGACCCAAAGTATTTCAAAAATTATAATATCTATCATGTATAGAAAATCCTTTCAAATGTTTGAACAAAATTCAAAGTACAAATATTTCATTTTACTCTTTTATCACAACAAAATAAAAATTATTAAAAAATATTTGGGTAAATGTATACTTTTTAAGTTCTAACTAGATTAGAATTGGTAGACGAAACCAAAGTTGAAATATTAAGTTTTTTCACTGTTCCCAATGGCGATAACAGACCAAAACACGCACATCATTGTAAAATAAACTTAAAATAATAATTGATTTTGATTCATTCGGAATCTAAAAAAGTTGTAAGAAATTTATGTTACATCGTATTTCAATGTCCTTCTGCTCCTTCACTTATGGTCTTGATATTATTTTAAAGGACGTAATGAGATTTTGGATGGATAAAGGCGTTAATGGATTCCGATTTGATGCTCTCAAATATTTATACGAAAATGCCTCATTTCTCGATGAACCATTTTTGCCGGGAATGAGCAACGCCTCCGAATACGTGGAATTTGATCATATATATACCCAAGATCAACCTGAAATTATTGATACTGTCTTGGAATGGAGAGCGTTTATGATTAATTATACAAACAGCAAGAATACATCGATTTCCGGGTAAATGTTATTCACTTATACTGACATTTTATAAAATTGTATGATTAAATAAAAAAAAACGAGTAAGTGGTGTCTGCTGTACATTATGTGTCTGGAACATCACTATTACAGATGTATTAAATTTAACTTCAATAATCATTGTGTACGAGAAGTGGTTCTTATTATTAGGTATATACAATCTGTTCCTTTGGGGACAATAAGAATATGTGATATTAGAAACAAAATATTTACATGAAAACGTGATGGGAGGAGTCACCCAGTGGTTACACTACCCTAACTTGATTTTTTTTATTTTTTTTATTTTTTTTTTATTTTAACTCAAGGAAATATGAATAATATTTTTAACTTACAACAAAATAACTGAAATTGACCTCACTCACATTTGACTGTGGCCAGCCTACACGCTACACAAACCTTATAATTTAAATAATTTTTATCTTATTCCTGATGTTGTGTTATTAGTATAAATTATAATTAATAACAAGTTAATTAAGAAGTTTCATTAATAAAAATCATAAATTCATATTTTTATGTTGGACAGTTTGATGACATCAGAATCGTATTCAAGCGTAGATTTATTAATGCAATATTACGGCAACTTCACGAACCCTGGAGCTCAAGTACCGTTTAACTTAGCACTAGTGAGATTCCCAAAAGATGATCATATAGTTGAAAATATAGATACCATAATAAAAAATTGGTTGGCTAATTTACC